CCTTAGTGCTCGAATGGGTGCGATGTTGGAGACTAGGCTCCTTAGCATTTTTGAGACGCAGCATTACCCTAATTGCATCTGTGATAAGGGAATTCGTAGTTCTAAAGTGAGACAGAATACCTTTGGCTAGATAGTTCTACCATAGAAGGTAAGGTCAGATTAGTTTATACAGAATTTATCCAGTGTGTAGCTTGTGAATTCAATTGGATGTAGATGTGGATGTTTGGTTTGCTAATATGATCATACATGTGATATTTATTATATAGTTATATGTTTATATATTAGTTTATAAATGACTAATGTTTTATTTACTTGTTTATGGTTTTATTTATTAATAGATAGTTTTAGATTATTTTGGTTACTGGGACATATGTATCACCCTATAGTTACTATTTTGTTCAAAAGCTGGTAGTAGCAGAGGGAAAGATCTGGCTAGGGGTAGTGGGTTTACCATGTTGCTCTATTTAAGATTGTGTAATGAATTTATATAGTTGTATAAATATAAATGTTTATAAGTTGCCATAGGAATGTGTTGAACTTTAGTTTTGATAATTATAAAATAAAGAGAAGTCTATGTGTTATAGGATATTGAATCTTAATCAAAGATTAATTGGGTTAAAAAAACATTAACTGACTAAGTATGAGCTTATTCGTGTAACAGAAGTTCTTTTGTCCAAATATCTCTTTGTTAGTTAAGTACTTGACTTAACTATAATCTATGTGCCTAATGCAGTCCTATCTTAAATTGTTTCTAAGTGTTCTTAGCATCGATATTGAAAGCTTTAACATTGATGCTACTTGAATTATTTTCACTGCTTTACTATGTTATGTTTCATATAACACCAATCCTACTTTTTCTAACACCAATGTTATCCGTTTAAGTCTGTGAAATTGATTCTCTATCCTTTGAACATTGTTCTTTTCACTGGTACCTTTTACTTAACATCGGTCCTATTGTTCATTTATGTCCATGTTTGAGTTAAGACAGCACCTGTGTTTCTTAGTTAGCACCTGTACTATTTTAAACAATTATCTGTAATACCAGTGCTAACTGTATAGCACTAGTACTGTCTCTTCTATTCTCTTGCAAAGATGTTTGATTGATCATGTTACTTCGGTGTTACTTCCTTTAACATCGGTGCTAAGTTATCTTTTTAAAAATATCCTTATCCACTTAAAATTGTCAGAAATCTTCATATTTTGCGATGATGGATTACATCAGTACTATCAAAACAACACCTATGCTAAGCTCTTCAATTAAAGTCTACTAATCACAGTAACACTAGTGCTGGGACACTATAACACCGGTACTACCTTGAATTTTCATGCTATTTTTTATGTCAATTTTGAATCTCATGAAAACTCATCTTTCAATCTTTCTTTTCATTTGGAATCAATTATATTCACTCTAAATCTTTACTAAATATTATTCAGACACAATTATTTCCTTAAAGTTATACAGATGGCTTATCTTTCATTGATTCACCAAGTTTGCGTTCTGTTATACCAAAACATATAAGCTTTAACTACTTTTGTCAAAAGCATTTAATGTTTTTAGCTGTTACTGTACAAAAAAGAAAGTTTTACCATAATGCATTGTTCCATTGCTTCATCCACCAGAGAACCTTAGATAAGCTCGAATATCTAAGGAAACTTAAAGGAAAAAAGAAAACAGATTGCAAGCTACCTTTAGCAGAAAAATTTATAAGTCTAATGGATCATTTATGATCATCAACTAGAAATAAACTCATTTATGAAACCTGAAAAAACACAAACAATGCAAGCCAACAAGAAAATCCTGTAATTACTTGAGCATTAAAGTTTACTTACCTTTTGTGTATCATTTATTGTTTAAGAGCTTCATTGATCATACATCTACTCTTAGACAGAGTTTAAAAGTAGTAGTAATTCATTTTTGAACTTAATCTGTTTATCCCTGTTTTACATCTTTAAAACAGAAGAACTTAAGCTAGGGGAGTTTAAGGGAATTTATCATTACTTTTGTAAGGAGGAGAGTTTCAGACTTATTGTGAAGTCTATGGGTGTACTGAGGCAACCAAGAACCTAGATTAATCTTGGTGATATAGTTGGAAATCTCAGGAGGTTCCTGGGGATTAGACATAGACTTAAGTGGTAGGAGTCGAATCAGGATAAATCACTAGTGTCAAACTCTGCTCTTCTAACTCTCGTGATTGGTGATTTTATTCATTCATTACTCTAATTATTATTGCAAATCTTTTTAATTTTTTAATTAGCCCAATTCACCCCCTCTTAGGCATTTACATAATGTATACATGGTTTTGGTTGCACTTGTATGATGGTGTGTGTGTATCTTAGCCTTGAAATGTAAAAATGTATGAAATGTGACAAAGAGGGCTAAGATACTAGTACAAGTGCAAGGTTTTGTGTTTTGGAATGGTTGTGATGTGTGAAATTTGGTCAAGAAAGTGAATATGTGAACACATGTGAAAATGGCTCTATCTTGATGTGAATCAAAGCATTTAGTTGGCCAAATTGTATTATAATTGCATGATTGTTTGTATAATTGCTTAGTCAGGTGAATAATGTCCCATTAGATATGATTAAGGCCTTAGTAGTAGCTAATGATACAAGATTGTGATTTGGGATGCTTAGATGTGGAAAGGTAACAAAAAGTCATTTTGCATTCAGTGTTCAATTTTTAAATAAAATACTAGATTAAGGTAAAACTTATGTAATTAGTTAGATTATGGAGTAAGCTTCGTGTGAGCACTTGAATCACTCCAATTGACTCTTGTATGTGAAAATGGCACATGTCGAAAATTTATCTCAGACGAACTATTATAATAGTAGAATCTATCATGTATGCTATAATGCATGACATAGAAAATGAAAGAGTGACTCTGTGTCATATGCCACAATATATGGAATACATGCCACGACGTCTGAGTCTAGTTGGGTGAAAATGACTCTTTTGCCCTGTTTTTTTTTATTGTGTAGTGTTTATGCATTCTTAAACGCTTTCATTGTGCATAAATACATATGTTTTGGAGAGTCAACACATTTTTAAAGAATTTTGGGATCTCAACTATTTTTTTAAAAATATTTTATATATTTCTAGTATTTATAAATTTGTAGTAATTTAAGGGTTTAAGGATTCCTAATTACATTTGGGCATGTTAAGTGTGACTACGCATTTGGTAATGTCAAGAAGATTATAACCTTTACTCTTTTATTAATACAACGAGATTCATCTTGAAAGTTTTGTCCTCTAATCAGAACATTAATTATATAAGAAGAAATAAGCAAAACTCAAACATTAAGGAGTACAATATTTATCTAAGGGAGAAAACTTATATACGTAGCTTAATTTATATATTTAATATACTTGTTTCCAATTAAATTACGACATATGAATCTTTATAGATTGTTTATTTTCTAATAAATTCTTGTCATTAATTTTATTAAAATATTAAGATTCACTTGTCATGATTTGATTAGATATAAGTATATTAATTATATAAGGCTAAATATATAAGTTTTACCCTTATTTAAAATCCTTTTAATGAAGAAAATTAATGCTTAATTAAATTTCATTTTTCTCCTCATTTTCTTTTTCTTTAACTATATTTTTTGGAATCAACTGTATATATGTTTTCATTTCTTTTTCATTATTTAAATTTTACTCTCTCCATTAAAAAATATAAGGTATTTTTTGAAGAGTTGGATGTTAAAAAATGTAAGACATTTTTAATCTTTTAAGGTGTAATCATTATCTTTTTTAAAAAAGTGCCCTTATTGATAATGACTTTATACTTATTTAATAGGCGTAAATATGAAAAAATAGAGTTAGTTTGAAAATAGGTCATTACTTTATTGAGAGAGTGAAATTTGATTAAAAATGTCTTATATTTTTTAATGGAGGGAATATCAAATTACAAATTAATTTTTTTATTTAAAAAAAAGAAAAGTAGACAAAAGATGAGTTCATCTCCATATACTTCAAAGACTGGTAAAAGGCAAACACAGACAAAAAGTCATCATCTTTGAATAAACAAATAATATAATATCTCTAATAATATGCTTTACATTCATCTCTAATAATCTGCTTTGCATTCATTTCTCATGCTCCATACCATACATAAACATTAGTTATTTATATATTACTAAGAATTATTTATATTGCTGTTAAATTGCCCTCAGCATCAAACCAAAGCTCAGCATCATGCCAATGAACTTCACAAATTTTGTAACAAACTTCAAATAATTACCTTTTAGAAACATAAATTTGCTTTTCAGTTGAGTAGTGTGGAATAATTGACAGATGACTAACAATGATAAGAGCTCTCAGCAATCTCTTGCACAATCCAAAACTGTAAATATTGATTCATCTTTTTTTTTTAAAAAAAAAATTGATTAAGGATTATAAGGACATTAGAGAAAATGGGCTTTTTGACTAAGCAGCAGTTTAACTACTAATCAAAGCCCCAAAAACAACACCGAATATGAAGTGAAATTCCAGAAAACTGGCAATGAATGGAAAGTCCAATATTTTCAAACTACATAAGTGAATAACTACAACCCAAAAGGGAGGGGTAAAAAAAAAAAAAAAAGAAATGGCAATCTGATTCTGAACAGAAGGTTTACATTTCAAAGAAAGTATTTCACAAATACAAATGAATATCAGTAGTGGGGAAAAAAACACTCACAAAACACCAGAAAAAACTACACAAGATTTGATTCATATGAATCAACAAAACAACCTTAAAAACAGCTATATATATCAGACTCGACAACATTGATGACAGCATTGGGTTAAGGATCACAAGTAAAACGCTAAATTTCATATAAAACTGGTTAATTTAAGCCCATGAAACTCCAAGAAAAGCAAATTAATCAACAACCACAATAACGAAAGAAAATTAAAATCTGGGTCCCATCAGAAGGAAGCCCATATAAGTGATGAGGTAGTGAATGAAAATAAAAGGAAAGTGAATCATATTCATTCACACACAGACGTATAGCCTGCTTTTCTCAGAAGGCCTGGCAGAAGCATACTTCATTGTCTCGTCGGGTCAGAGACGAGAGGATCACGGAGGATTTTTGAACAGCCGGATGACACTGAATTATCATCCACCCATGTCCCTTGTTGAAGATTGCGAGACTAAATAGGACTCAATCTTTGGCCATATTTACGGGAATATGCCATGGTAGAAAAAACTGAAAACCAAAGCCTTAATTCCCTACTGTTGCTTCCCGTAGATAAAACAAAATCAATAAACACTCATTCGCATCTGAAAACCAAACCCATCTCCTCTCTTTTTTCTCGTATCTCTGCGCTCTGCGCAGGAAAGGCGGTTTCTTTTCTTTTTGTTTTTTTTTTTTGTCCAAGCGTATTTCCCCGAGAAAATTTCAATCGAGGTAAGAGTTTTCCGGGGGAAAAGAGGAAGTTTCAATGGTGGAGGAGGAGGAAGTATTGCCGGACCATCTTCGCTGTAGCCGCACCGACGGCAGACAATGGCGGTGCCGTCGGAGAGTCATGGATAATCTGAAGCTATGTCAGATTCACTATCTACAAGGTCGTCATCGGCAATACAAGGAGAAGGTCCCGGAGTCGCTGAAGCTTCAGAGGAAGCGAAAGAATGGGAATAATGACAGCAAAGATGATTCTGTTAATCTCGACAATGTTGAAATTAGGGCACTGAAAGTGGGGAAGAAGGCGAACCTGATAAAGAAGAGGCGGAAATTCTGGGATTCTTCTGAAGCAGTGAATGCTCATCCTGTGAAGAAAAAGGCCTTGAAGCAAGGTGGTATGCAGTTGGACTTGATAAGGATGGTTCTGAAGAGGGAGATTGAGAAGAGGAAGAAGAAGGAGAAGCAGGGAGAGAAAAGGATGAAGAAGTCGGAAGAAGAAGAGCTGATTAATTACAGCGAGGGAGAGTTGACTAGAGAATTACCCAATGGTGTTATGGCAATCTCTCCAGCATCAACGCCCCGAGATTACAACAATGTCGGTTCACAATGTGATGTTAAAGTAGGGATTGATCATAAAGCAATCACTCCACGTTACTTCAGGTCCAAGAATGTGGAGAGGCTCCCTGCTGGCAAGTTGCAGGTAGGTTCTTTATGGGTTTTAACAAATTTCTAGTGCTTTCAGGATGTCTGATGGTTTTTATGTTTTCCTATTTGGGTGACTTGCTTCATTTATTTAGGTATTGCCTTTTGGGCGAAATTTGAAGAAGTTGAGGAGGAAAAAGTGTCACTGGTGCCAGAAAAGCGAATCTTGGAATCTCATTAAATGTTCTAGCTGTCAAAAAGAATTCTTTTGCATGGACTGCTCCAAAGACCGGTTTGTTGACTTCACCCCAATTTTGATCATAAACTTCAACCTGCGAGGCATTTACTGTCGATAACTCGATATTAAATTATTTTTGTTGTGTATGTTGGATTTCCTGTTACAATTTGACCCTTGTGTGCTTTCTTTTGGTTAACAATCTACCGAAGGCTTGGTTGTTGATAGAACACAATAGCATCATGCAATCCTCATAGCCAACCCCACTTAGTGAATAAGGCTTGTTGTTGTTATTGTTGTTATGCTTCTCTACTTTAGCTATGAATTCCCATATGAGAAAGAATTTGTTTTTGTAGGAGGATTCAAACTGCAAAGTGTAATAAAAGTATTGACCAATGGTGGAACTATAATTTATGAAGCTCTGATTTAATTAGTTCTGGCTAGAGATTGCTTATAATATAGATCCAGAGCTCTTTATTTTAAAAGATACTCTTGAAATGATCAAACGCTGGGAAAATATCTGGCATTATTTAGGTATCTTTCTTGGCAGTGAACAGTGCTAATTAATAATGATAAGTGACACGGCTTCTCTACCTTTCTTATCTCAGATTATTTTATGAGATGCTTGTCTACTCTATTTTGGAACATGTATAGGTACTTTGAAACTCAAAATGAAGTTAAGATGGCATGTCCAGTTTGTCGAGGAACATGTTCCTGTAAAGAGTGCTTGGCAAGTCGATGTAAAGACAGTGAAAGTAAGGTCTGACATCAAAGTAGAGTGACCTGTGACTCAATTAGTGTTTCTTTTGTAGTGTACTCTGACAAGTGATTTTATGCCCCAATTTTACAGGAATACTTGCCGTGTAAAAGCAGAGTTGACAGAATTTTGTGTTTTCATTATATGATCTGCATGCTTCTTCCTGTATTAAAACAAATCAGTGCAGATCATAATATTGAACTAGAAGCAGAAGTGAAAAATAAAGGTGCTAATCATCTTTCTTACCACATTTATTATTGTTAACTCATCCTTTGTTCATTGTGTAGTATGGTTATCTGTGATGCCCTTGTATGACAGGGAAAAGATCCTCTGGTATTCAAATCAAGCAGGTTGAGTTTGGCTGTAATGAGCAAAATTGCTGGTAATCTCTCTTTCACTGATGCTTTTGAGAAAGTTGGATGATTTTTAGTGTTTTTGGATGGCATTTACATTCCGGTTTAGGATGCCCAATAAATTAGCTCATCATTGTCTAGGAAACCCACTAAATTGAAAGATCGCATTGCTGATGAAAACCACATTTTGGATGAGGTCGTTTCCAATGGCAATTCAGCAGCTACTTCATCATCACCAGACTGCACAACTTGTAAAGGTTCTGGCAACAGAGCTTGTTCCCCCACAGAGCTTGGTGGTTGTGATGATAGCCTTCTAGATCTGAGATGTGTTTTTCCCATAAGCTTGATGAAAGAGATGGAAACAAAAGCTGAAGAAATAGCTTGCTGCTATGACTTTCCTGAAGCTTTGGATAAAAGTTCAAGCTGCTCACTTTGTCTCAATACTGATAATAAAATTGATAGATACAAACAGTGGCAAGAAGCAGCTCTAAGAGAAGATTCCAATGATAATTGCTTGTTTTATCCCACAGTTTTGAACATCAGTCATGATAATTTTGAACACTTTCAGAAGCACTGGGGAAAAGGTCATCCAGTAGTAGTGCGAGATGCTCTCCAAAGTAAATCAAATCACATCTGGGATCCACTGGTCATGTTCTGTGCTTATCTTGAGCAGAGTATTGTAAGATATCAGAATGATAAGGACTTACTTGAATCTTGCTTGGATTGGTGTGAGGTCAGTTGATCAAATAATTGTATATGAAACAACACTTCTGAATTGATTTACTAAATTGATAATTTATTTGGGCTTTATAATCAGACTAGATTTTATTGCACATAGTTATTTGAAACAAGCACTAACATACACTTGGAATGTTCAAATTTGTATTTCAACTTCAACTTTGCTATTAGATAGGATGGAGATTCTACTGAACTGAATGTCATTTCTAAAGTGTGCTATTTGTACCCTGTGACAGGTTGAAATCAACATTAGGCAGTTTTTTGCAGGGTCTCTGAGATGTCAACCTCAGAAAAATACTTGGCATGAGATGCTTAAATTGAAGGGTTGGCTGTCTTCCCAACTATTCAAAGAACAGTTTCCGATTCATTTTGCTCAAGTGATTGATGCTCTACCTCTTCCAGAATACATGAATCCCATGTCTGGTATTCTGAATTTAGCCGCAAATTTGCCACAAGGGCAAGCAAGACGTGATATAGGTCCGTTTGTCTATATGTCATATGGTTGTTCTGATGAACAAGCTGATTCTGTAACAAAACTCTGTTATGACTCATATGATGTGGTATGTCTCCTTCCTTGTTATGCATACACTTGATTTCTTACACACATCTTTTATGCATTCTATGGGACTAAACTGTCACTATTCATTAATGTTTTAATGAAATATGCCTTGTGTATCTATTATGCTTATTTGGTTCATAATAACTTAGAATTCCTATATGAAGTGATACAAATGTGCAGGACATTCTAGGAGGTTTGCAGAAACAAGATATGTGTCATATATTGTGTATGATTTGAAATTACAGGTTAATATCATGATGCATTCAACAGATATCCCTCTCTCTACAGAACAACTCACTAAAATAAGAAAGTTATTGAAAAAGCACAGAAATCTGTGTCAAAGGGAGTCTCCTGAGATTATTACTGAGCAGATAACGGGACAATGTTTGAAAGGAAATTCAGTATTGCATGCCGAAGATGAGGAACAAAATGAAGTGCAGAGTATGGTTAGAGAAGAGATGAATTTCTTCCGGAGAGTCAACAGAACAACTTCCATCTCCATGGAGGCAATAAAAGCAGCAAGTCGGAGTACAGACAGCATTATTTCCCAGGGTGGAGAATGTGATTCAGATTCTGATTCTGATCTCAAATCCACTGCACTTCATGGGACAGTCCAGAACACTCTATGTTCTACACACAATAATCACAGATATTCTGATGATAGCTCAAATAATGATAGGAATAAAAACCTTGATGACCATTCTGGTGCCCAGTGGGATGTATTTCGCAGACAAGATGTCCCAAAACTAATGGAATACCTTAAAAGACATTGTATTGAATTTTCTGATACCCGGAACTATAAAAAGAAGGTAATTCTTATGCAGGACAATTATTAGTTTGACTTTGTAGGAGTTGATGATCATTTTGTCCCTGTGTTGTAGGTCATTCACCCAATTTTAGATCAGATCTTCTTTCTTGACGATACTCACAAAATGAGGCTTAAGGAGGAGTTTGGTAAGTACACTTCTGTGTTTTGATCGCGTGTCCCAAACCTAAATATATTGACATATCTATGCTGTTACCAGAAATTGAACCGTGGACTTTTGCGCAACATGTTGGAGAAGCTGTCATCATTCCTGCTGGATGTCCATACCAGATCAGGAATCCAAAGGTCTCTTGCATTAATACGATTTTTTTTTTTAAAGCTATATATCTGTCCGTGTGTACGTACACATATTGGGGGAATATTTAATGAATGAGCTTGTTTACTGCAAATGAGAAGAGAAAATCTTGTTTATATCCCCGCGTGAAATGGTTTTATGACTAAAACATGAAGCCATGTGATATCTCTTTTATAAGTGGTTGTCCCAAATGTGTTTTAATCCTGACCAATCATCTAAAGATCCAATTGTCAGGATTTAACTTTAATCATTAACAATAAACAAGTGTGCCCTGCTCATAATTTCTTTAAGTAGTGAAACCTTGTAAAACATAAAATTTCTCGTCTTGGAAATCCATTGTAAATTTGTAGACAGATGTTCTTTACACAAGAAGGCTGTAGATGGTTTTGCTTTTGTCAAATATTTGATTTTCGTAGCCCCTTTGTATTGTATATCCTAACTTGTGTCAGATGCCTGACGAGTATTTATTTCTTGACCTGCAGTGTTCTGTTCATGTGATACTTGAATTTGTGTCCCCTGAAAATGTTAACGAGTGTTTTGAGTTGTTTGATGAAGTCTGTCTACGTCCTGAAGGGCATAAAGCGAAAGCAGATAAGCTGGAGGTGAGTCATAGTTATGTCTGCTTTCTTGAGGTACTTGTTATCATGAGACTGACAAGAGTCACTCTGTTTTTTTTTTTTTTTTTGCTCCGGGTTTATGATGAAAACAGATGAAGAAAATGGCCCTTTATAGCATGAGAACAGCGATAAAGGAAATAGGAGATCTTACCTGTAAAAAGTGATTGCTTCAACATTACATGCCTCTGCTCTGTGAGACTCGGGCTTTCTAGATGCTTTCATTTTTTGTATAGATTAATTGTAGAGCATACATTTTAGATCTGGCAGGATACTCGTTGATTTGATTGATTTTAGTTTCTATTCATTTTTTATTCACCAAATTGTGTGACTCTGAAATTGAAATAAAATTGTAAGGTCTGTATAAACTTTTTAATCCCTTTTTCCTGAAAGGAAATTGATAATTTTTTTATGGGAGAGTGAGAGGGATGTATTGTGGGTTTGAGGACTATAAAATTGACGTTCTGACCACACTTTGAGCTGCAGTTATGGTAACCAAATCTAGCTAAACTGAAAACAGGTGTTGGGTCTGTATTTGACTAATGATCAGCACTTGTATCAGACACAATGTTTTTGCAGCCTTAATTCCGCTGGTGGCTCACATGTTCTACTGCCAAGAATCATCCTATGGTTCCCTTAGCTACACATTTAATTTGCCAAAGTAGGGTTTATCTTGCATCAAGCATGGGACACCTGTTCTTGTTTGTTGATAGTTTTAAGTGCTTCGTAACGGCGGAATCCAGTTTTTTTTTTTTTTTGGGTCGTGGAACCCAGGTTCATTTTATGCTGTGTGTATTTATATATTGATTCCATCACCTGTTATCTTGGAAAAATTAGGGGAGTTACCACCATCTGCCCTGATTTATTGGAACCCTTGCTGTGTGGAAGTATTATTATCAATGATGGTTTCATGAGTATTTCGATATGCCTTTGATATATTTATTTAATGTGATTGCATGTTTAAAAATTTTAACTCCAAAGTTTTAGGGTAAGTTGATTTAACTTCCTTGATCATTTGAACCAAGTGCCTATGAGTATTTCGAGAGGCTTTTGATATATTTATTTAATGCGATTGCATGTCTAAAAATTTCAACTCCAAATTTTAGGGTAAGTTGATTTAACTCCCTTGATCATTGAGCCAAGTGCCTCTCAATTTAGGCTATATCCATTTGTTGTTGCAGACGTTGGCAGAATATACTGCTGTCATTTAAGAAGTTCAATTGACATGTGATGAATGAGGTAGCAGTAGTTTTAAGTGCATGTCTTAATAAACTAATGGAATAGTTTAATTCAGTTTTAACAACGCAATGAGACAGATATGTACTGAAGTTGAAATAATCATCAAACTAATGGTACCAGCAAGGTACCATTTGGAACCAGATTTTATCTGACATCAAACTTGTTCAGTTTTATGTAGCTGTAAAGTGTAAATGAAAATTAGGATCTCGGAGCTGTGCACAAACTAGGAAAAGAAAGAGCAGCGAGGATGTGATTAGTTTTCTTCATATGTTCGCCCAATCAATTTTTTTTTTTTTTTGGTAAGATGGGAAGAAATTGAAGATGAAAATGGCAAGCCTTGGAAGCTCATTTTGTAGTTGTAATTTAAACAGGTTAAAGGTGCAGATTAAACTATGGATTATTTTCATAGAAACATTCGGTATCCTATATTATAGGGTATTGAAAAATAAAAAGACTATTTAAAATGCAGTATTGGGCATTTTGCCGTCTTTTTGTTAATGCCATTTATTCATTTTTTTTTTTTCATAGCTAGTACGATTCAAGGACGGCGATCACAAAGCACTCGCCTCTGATCCTGCAACGGTGGTGTCATTGGAGGTTGAGCCGATTGAGCTCAAATAGTGGCTGGACAAAGTGTCAATGTTTTGAGGATGCCAATCGGGCAAGACTAAAATCGTTGGTAGATAAGAAGCAAGGGTATCAATGAAGAAAGGACATATGATTTTAACTAATGCTATGTTTTAAATAGATGATAATTTATTTTACATCACCTCATAATATAAATATTATATGTTTTTTGAAAAGAATTCATAGTTAAATTTACACTTTTGTCCTTAAACAAATAACATTTAAGGTTTTTTTTTATTCTTGAACTATTTTCATAAGAGCACCTAATATTCTAAACTCTTTATTATAATATTATCCTTGAAGTAATTAAATTGTAACAATATTACTCCTGACGTTAAGATTGAGTCAATAAAGTTAATAATCAACATTTGCTCCTTTAATATCAAGGGCAACATTGCTGCGACTTAATTACTTCAAGGGTGACATTGTTACAACAAAAAGCTTAAGAAACTACATGCTCCTATGAAAATAGTTCAAAAACAAAAATAAATCTAATCCAAACAATTATAATTTAGTGTCACTTAGTCTGCTTTTGCAATCTAAAGCTAAAGCAACCTCCCTTTCACAAGTTTGCAGTCACAACTCACAAGGGGGATCTTCAGTTCGGCTAATTTCCTCAGATTTCTTTGCCGTTATCGTCAAAATCCCTCAATTCTGAAATTTCACAATCCCCTATCCCGTTACTGATAAAAGATGAATCGCCCACACACACTGTTCCCCATAACTTATTTCTAATGTCCTCCTTCTGTCCAAATTTTAAATTATAAAATACTTTTAAATAAAATTACATGTATCAATCAAACTCATTAAATACACTTTATTTTTACTTAATCAAGATAAAATTATCATTCATTTAATACTCCATTTATAGAAGAAAGATAACATAAGGGAGGAATAATATTAGAAAACTTTCAATAATAATCCTTAATTCATAACATGTCTTATACTTTGAGTTGGAATGTTAAATCTAACTCATAAATGTCTTATAATTTATGATAGAGAAAGTAATTTTTACACACAATTTTACACGCATTATTCCTTATATTTCTAATGTAATTTTTACACTACACACACAAATCTCTCATTCCCTATAACCTCTTGTTTCCAATGGAATTCCCCCCCCCCCCAAAGTAAACTGGCATTCAGGTGAAATTACACGTGGGCCAAATTAAAAGTTGACTCTAGGCAAAATGATATGACATAAAACATAAATACAAGAAACAATTGAGTTTTTTGGTCAATTAAGATAACATTATGAATCATAAATAACAGCAAAGATGATTGAGCCGTATCATTTTTTGTTTGTTTGTTGGGCATCTATACTTTCTACACGTAGCACATCAACCCCAATTGGGACACCGTAGTTACATCACGCAACTGAATAGTTCCATGAAGAACTTAACGCAATGCAAGATAATTAAACACAGGTGATAGTGATACTTCCTGGGGAAAAACCAAAGAGCATGAAAATAAAAAATAAAAAAATTCTGAGCCTAGAACTGAATTATCGCGACTAGCTGCCAAATAGGATTATTTAGCCAAAATGGTTGCGTGAGGAGACTCAACAAAAAGTGAGCTTGTCATTCTCATTCTCAAGGGGCCATTAGACCATCAATTGTATAAGAAAGGGATTTTGCCCAGTCAGTTCTGAGTACTAACGTTTGAAGCGTCTCCATCACATTGTAGTCAGGATCAAGCTTTCGCTGCCAACCCTGCAGATTCATTTATCATCGTATCAGCTCAGATGCATCAGAAAATACAGTGAGGGAATGAATAGGACGAAATTTCAATCAACATATCTATCATGGTTGTATTATACTCCATGCAAATACACAAACTCAAGCCTGTTTGGCTACCTGTTTTCAAAACAGAAAAATAATGAAAAAAAACTACTTCAAAATGTGTTTTCTGTCTGTTCTAAAGAACAAAAATTAAAAGTTGTTCTGAAGAACTAAAAAACTGAAACATCGACTTTTTGTCCTGCAAAACTAGGGAAAAGACAGAATATAATGCTTTCATTAATAAAAATCATGTAAATAAAATAAATTAGGGAGGATGACAGAGAAGTTCCAAAAGGACCAATTAATTCAAGTTATGTTCCAAATGCCAAACTTCACAAATTTACAATTCAATCTCTCAATTTTGTAACTCTATTATGATGAATTTGCGACTTGTATTCTAAATTTTAACAGGAAAAATAATTTTTTCATTCTTCAACCATGTTAAAATTTAGAAAACAAGTTGTAAATTTATCACAACGCAGTTGCAAAATTGAAAGATTAAGTTGCAAATTTGTGAAGTTTGGCAGTTGGGATCTAACTTAAATTAATTGGTGCTTTTGAGACCTCTTTATCATTCTCCCAATAAATTATTCTTTCATGCTTTATTTCACCAATATATATATATTTTTCAAAATAATGATTCGAACAATTTTTTTTTTTGTTTCCAAAACTTATTCTGAAAAACTATTCTACAGAATTATTTTAAGAATATAAAAAATAAAAAAGAACCAAACTAGTTTCAAATACTCTCTCTGAATCATAATATAGGATATTAATAACCACTTCACAGTTCTCAAAAAGTTACATAAACCTTTATCTCTTAAAAAATTTTACATTTTTCCAATTTTACATCTTATATAAGTGCCTTAATAATAACGATTGAAATTTCTATACATCATTTTTTCAAAAAAATAATAAACAAAGCAAGGGCATAGTTGGAAAAATAATTAAAAAAACTACCTAATGCCCCATATTCTAAACTAAATAGGATTTCTAGAAGACACCCTACATTGTGATCCGAAGGAAGTATAAACATACAACCAACTGAATAATGTATAAAAGTATATATATTCTTCACATGTTTACATATTCATTTACATTTACTAGATGGGAGTATAAAATTATTATTGATTTACCTCAAGAACCAAGATTGTCACCATCACAGTACAGACATTGCCATCAATATTAACTCTGTGACGCCTAACTTTCTCAAGTAATTGCTCCACGCATTCAGCAGGATGGACCAAGTCTCCTTCTGGAGTGCCCCAAAAACCAAACGCCTCATCTACTTCCTGTTAGAAAACAACCTCAAGATGATCTCATTCCCAAGAATCATAATCAAGAGTTCCAAATAAATAATGGGCAAGTGCGCGTGCACACAGAGGCACAATACATATATATATATATATATAAACAAAACATTTCAATCAAAAAAATAAGCAATGTAAACAACACATATCAAATGAGAGAAATCATCATATCTAAAAGATGAAAATAAGAACAACTTTATATTACTAGGTGTGGTCAGTTTCATAGATTAAACGGTACCATTGTGCTCTATCAACAACTAAATTTTTGGATATGTTTTTAATGAAATATCTCTTTCAAAAACTTCATTTAGTGTTGTCTTTAGTCTTCCTCAATCCAATTAATCACTATTAAGTCACATGTCAATAATTGAGATTATCACAAAAATCATTACAAATGCCCAACAAACTGATGGGTACTTTAGTAGGAGAGGGAACCCAATTCCAAAAACAATCGTATACCCCATTGAGCATCTAATGGAACCCACACTGAAAATGCTATTAAAATGATAGAAAT